GCTCTGGGCTCCTTACCCACTGTGTGGCATGTTCTTCCTGTTCTTCGTCATGCCCACTAAAATGAAGGTGAACTTTTTTTGTTCCATCCCAGTGCCTAAAAACACCATAGGGTGGGCGCTGAATGAGTGAATGAAGCTAAGTCATTGAGGTCAAGTATATATGAAAAATCACTCTGAAAAATGTGATTTGTGAGCACTGCAAAGTGGGAGAGCACTTTCATTCTGTCTGAATTCATTTTAATGTATTTTTTGTCTGCTATTCAGAGTGAAGATGAAGCTGGTTGCAGCTCAGTTGATGAAGAAAGTTATAAGACTTTGAAGCAACAGGAAGAAGTATTTAGAAATCTAGATGCTCAGTATGAAATGGCAAGGTCACAGACCCACACACAAAGAGGAATGGGATTGGGTTTCACGTCATCAATGCGAGGAATGGATGCAGTTTGAAAAAGATCACACTTAATATTTGGAACTTTCTAGATATCTGGTTCTGATGTCAGGTCCTTGTTCACCAAACAGCTAGCATTCTAGCTTGCATGGGTGTTGCATTGACTTTAATTTATTGAAAAATAACGATTTTTTGTAAATATCAGATCAGTGATACTGGTGTTAGTGTTGTAATTAGGTTAAACCCACTTCCATTAAACTTGACAGGACTATAGAAGGACAATATTTTTTAGTTCATGAATTCTACTTTCAAAATACGTAAAAGCTGCAGGTGGGATAAAATCTCATACATGGATTTTTCGTGTCCGCTGTCTTGTGTACTTTTGTACTTAACCTTGTACAGTTATTTTCATCTCTTGAAACATGAAAGAAAGTTATGTAGATGTTCTTTAGAAGATCTGGCCATTTGGTACATACCAGCACAGATAAGCTGGGTGGTGGTGATAATAAAAAATGTTTTTCTCAAAACTGGTGTTAATTTAAGTTACCTGGGATTCTCATTTGTATTTCATGGTTTCTGTAGCATTTTGCAATTGCTATAAGGAAACACTGGCCAAGATTCCTTTTTTTTTTTTTTTTTTTTTTTTTTAAAGAAAAGACTGCTATTGGCAATTATATAGTGAGCAAAAATGTAAAAGGAAGTTGGGAGGAGTAAACAAATTTATTAAAATAATACTGTTTTCCTACTATTATAAGGGACAGAATTGGTGTACAGTATTTGTTAAATATTCCGTATGTTATTCAGGAAATAGATTAATACCTTAAAGGGATGTAAGCACTTTTATTTTAATAAAGTGCCTTATAACAAGTTTTTTGTATGCCCTTTGCTCATTGTCCCTTTGAAGTCTTCTCCAGCATAAAGTACTAAAAAGTTAGAAAACCACTCGGTCACTAGATTGACAAGGCTATGAATCTGGTGGCGGGTGGGCACCGCAGAACTTGTGATTCATTAGCTGTCCCTAGGAAGGTCCTTCGGAGGAGGCGGCCACACTGTAGTAGCAGCAGCACCGTACAATATGGGGCAGTGCTAACACTTAAACCTTGATTTTGAAACTAGTTACTAAGTCTCGTCAGTTTGCTTGTTAGGCATGTTTCTGTGCTACAGGAATATCAAGTAGTTGAGCTGTAAGAATTTTTTTTCCTGAGGAAGGGAGGGAAAGACATGGGTTCCGTGTGGTTCCATGTTTTTATGTGTTCGTTGGTTGCTTCCTGTTTGTGCCCTGACCTGAGATAGGACCCACAGCTTTGGTGTGTGTGGATGGTGCTCGAACCAACTGAGCTACCTGGCCAGGGCATAATACAATGTACTAACAAGATTTTTAATATGTTTTGGTCAATGTTTAGTTTTCCTGAGTATGATAATTCTGTGGAGAAATGTCATGCTTCAATGACAAGGTCAAGTTTATGGGGAAATGACACCATGATTTTTCATTTTGGTGTCCCCACGAATTCATATTTTTTCAGTTTTATCTACACCTCATCAAATCAGTTTCATTTAAAATCTTTTGTCCTGACTTGAGTGACTCAGTGGGTTGAGCGTCATCCTGCAAAGCAAAAGGTCACCGCCTCAGTCCCCAGTCAGGGCACGTGCCTGGGTTGCCAGCCAGGCCCCCACTTGGGGGCATGCAAGAGTCAACTGACGAGTGTTCCTCATAGACTTCTAAGGTGTAGGGGATACAAAGGCGCACACAGCTGCTCCCTATTTTCCTTTGCCCTGTATTAGGGTTGTTGGCCCTGCAGCAAATGACGGTCCGCCCTGCACTCAGCAGCCATGAAAAACTAGTAGCCAAGTTTAAACGAAACTAGTGCAACACCTAAAATAATTGAACAGGTAATGACTCTTTTTAGTGGAGATTTATGTTCTTATTTTCATATTTAACAGCTTTAAGTCCAGTGTATATTTTATATTTTAACATCCTACTTGAGACCAGCCGTATGCAGCCAGGGACAGCCATGTTCAACAGCGCAGACCCAGGGGGAGGCAAACTGGCAATTGTGAGTTGCGTGATTTAAACTGAGATGCAATTAATTGGAGGCAAGCGAAGGGGAGGTCAGTTAACTCACTCAGTTGGAACTAAGTTTACAGGGAAGACATACTCCATAGATTTGATTTTATTAAACGTTTTGCTACCCCTTTTTGTTGGCCATTACTATGCTGTGCATTTCAAAGCCTGTGCTCCGTGATGAGTGTTTTGGACGCTACTGCTGGCGGCAGCGGGAGCCTTGGTGCTACCCAGGAGAGAACGTGATGGGGAAGCAGGGGGAAAAACTGGGGTGAGGTAAGACAAGCAGTGTGAGAGCAGTTCGCTTTCGGGGTAACTTGGAAGGTAGAAAAGCATTTGGTAGTTGTGTGTAGGTGTTGAAAACAAATTCAGATGAAGTTTTTAGCTTGTGTGAGTTCTTTTGCAAGTTTAGAAAAATACTATTTTAAGAAGGAGGTTGGTGGAAGCAGATGGAAACAAGTTCTGTATGTACTTCCTGGTTAATTTCATGGGTCAAAAGATTTTAATTACGTATTTTATTTTCAAAAATATTTTATTGCCCAGGCTGGTGTGGCTCAGTGGATTGAGCACTGGCTTGCTAAATGAAGGGTCGCCTGTTCGATTCCTGGTTGCGGGGCATGTCTGGGTTATGAGCCCCCCTATCAAACCCTCAGTAAGCTTTGTTGCTTTAGTTTTATTTTTCAAATATCCTTTACTTAAAAGTACTTACTCTGCCACTGTTGTCACTATCCTCATCCAAGCTACCATTTTTTATTTTGCTGCGTAAATCTTAACAATCTGCTAGACTCAACTTTACTTCTGCTCCATCTCCAAATCTTCTGTTGTGCAATTGGTTGGTGCTCCTTCATCTTACCAAAATGAAAATGTGTAGGTCACAGAAACTTTAAATCACATACCAAATTTTCCTGGTGGAGAGAGGGTCCCTAACGTGGCCCAGGTACTGACCTAACGTTTCAGTCTCGTTTTGCTCCACCTCGGCCTCTTCTTTCCACCTGCAGTTTCCTTAGCCTTGGATGCTCTTAATTCATCCACACTCGCCACCAACCTGGCCCTCCTAACCCTTCATATTTCAGTTCATCCTGAATTCCTCAGTTCACTGATTCCTGCGGAGGTCAAATTTGTTATATATCTGGAATTTCCTGTTTTTATTGCACATATTTTTTTAAACATGTATTTATTTTTAGAGAGAGGGAAAGGGAAGGAGAAACATAGATGTGAGAAACATTGATTGGTTGCCTCTCATACGTTCCACAAATTTGACAGGGACCAAATTTGCAAAACCTCCATGTGCCCTGACCGGGAGTCGAACCAGCAACGCTTTGCAGGAACGATGCCCAACCAAGTGAGCCACACTGGTTAGGGGTATTTCACACATTTCATCCATTTCGACCAACGAGCGGGAGTATTTATGCGTACTTTTTGTTCCTTTTGCTAGAATGTAGGTTCCAATAACAACAGCAGGGACTTCTCAACTTTGCTCACTCAGCGTCCCGGGGTCATAGGGACAGTGACGGACAGGCTCATCAGAGGTTGTGAAAGAATGTTACTGAAGGAGTGAGCAACCTAAGAAACATCAAATCAGAAAGGTCCAAACCTGTAAGAATTTCTATGAGTTAATTTGAGCCAAACTGACAATAATTGCTGGGAAGCAAAATCTCATCAAATTGAGAAAAAGCTCCAGAGAAGGGCAGTTCTGCACTTTATTTTTTGTATTACAATCAAAGGAGAAGGGAGGCAGGAGAAAGCAAAGGGGCCAGACCTCCAGGACTGGATAAAGGTAAAAGGAATGAATGGACACTTCTTTGTCTTAGGCGGGTATGGGATAGTTGACAGCAATTAACATTACAACCACGAGGGGATCTGCAGTCTGGGCTTTGGTGGAAGATTGTGCCCTGTGGGGTCTGGGAAAGGGAAATTACCAGGAGAATCCAAAGGCAGATGCAAAAAGGCATTAAGACTGGCTCAGTAAAAGTAAAGATTGACCTTTATCTATAAAAGATATCCGCCCAGGACAACACTACCTACCATGAATTACCTTTAGTTAGAAAAAAATACTACTTTTGGACCATCCTATGTGTTTATTTTAGGACTCTAATTACGGCCGCCAAGCAGGTCTCCCCTGAGCTTATCAGGTTTAGTATGTGCCCTCTTTTCCCTCCACAATACAAATCTGCAGTAGTTTAATTTAGCCGGTTTTTTCCTGAAAAAGTGAAACAAGCCCAATAAACTGAGGTAGCTTGTCCAAGATCGCGAAGGCAGTCTGTGGCAAAACTGGAATTCTTAGTTCTGTCTTTGCTGTTTGGCATGCACACCACACTCTGAAATGAACCATGTGCCGTGTTCTGAGTTTTCAGCCTTAGGTGCGTAACAAGGACAACCCATATTGTTTTAACACACTGGGTTTCACTAGGGCTTTTTAACGTTCGCGAAGGACCAATCCCGGTATGCAATGCAAACAATGAGCTAACAGTCGCCTAGGAACTACATGTCCCAGCATGCCGTGCTTCCGCGCAATCTCGGAAGTATGACGGATTCCGTTGCATTCTGGGAGTTGTAGTCTCGGGACTGGACCGTCGCTTGTGCAGCTTCCGCGGCCTAGGTTTGAAGAAAATCCTTCACGCCGGGTCGTTTAACGCCCTAGAGAGAGGTGCAGGCCTACGACCTCTGCCCCCTATCCGGGGGGCCAACTCCGCCCCTACTGGAGTCTATCCCACAGCCCAAAATGGCGGCCGAAGTGGATTTCGGCGATTTAGAGCTGTTCGAGGCGTTTGACCACCCGGAGGAGTCGCTTCCAAAGCCCGTTCACACCCGCTTCAAGGACGACGACGGCGACGAGATGAACGAGAACGGGGCTGGCGACGCGGAGCTACGGGAGCGGCTTCTGCAGTGCGAGGAAACCATCGAGCAGCTCCGCGCCGAGAATATCCTTCCCGCACGCCGGGCCTGTCACCCGGGCGTGGTGGGTGCCGAGCCCGGGAGCGCGCGGGCGTAAATTCCACGCGGGCCGCAGATCGACGTGGTTTCTCTCCCCGACCGGCGCGCTGAGAACCTGGGGTTCGGGTTGCGGAGCTGCCCCGCGGGCCTCGGCGCGACCTCTCCGCGTCTGGGATCCGTCTCCCGGACTCCAGTTGCTCTTCCCGGCGCCCCGCCTAGGGCCGGTGTTTAGGGTTATTTCGCACTGTTGCAACCGCTGGCTTGACGACGTTTGGGAACCATATGATTTCATTTTTGCAGCCCAACTAGGGTTGCTGCAGTCCTGTTACAGTTGTGTGTTAGGAGATAACAGGATACTTAGACTTGGCGTAGACCTATTTTGTGGGGTTTTCTTCTTTCTTTTCTTTTGCGGGGGTCGGGGGCGCGCAGAAGCTAGTGGTCCTAGGATGTAGACTTGGGGGCCTTGAGGATTCCAGGGATGCAAAGAGAAATGGGTTAATTGTTTAAGATTGGGAACGCATTTTAAAGTTCTCCCACTTTGGAATAGCTTCCGAGGTGAAGGGGCATGGCAAGGCTTTAGGGAAAACGCGCCAAATGTTTCCGTTTACCTTTAGTTACATGATGACAGGCTTTCCAGCAAGATTTGTTAGTATGTTTATTTAGAGTCTTAGGGGTTTGTTTTTGTTTTTTAAACTGTCTATTTACAGAGAATTTTGGTTCGGGTAGTTTTCCTTTTAGAATTTGTAAGGATCCCTGAAAGTGGTTGGTAAGTTACTTTGGTTTCGAAGTCTGATTTTTGTCCATTCTGCCTTTTTCCACTGTGTTGCTATGAAAAAAACTAAAATACAGAAGAGGTGAAAGTATCCTAGATTCTGCAGTCGTTTACTTTATTGCACGGCGTGATGCTTTCGCCTTGGAAAATTTCCTTAAGTGAGTGGCTTTAACTGTGGACAGGACACCGTTTGAATAACGTTTTTGGTTAGGTCTGTTAGTCTCTTTTGAACTACAGGATGGTCTCTTCTAAATGTCTTTGTTGGAAGGGAGGAGAACTCCATTTTTAGGTCCAAATACCTACCCCTGAAACAAAATAGAAGCTCAGTGTGTCATCTTCAGAATAGCTGTGTGTCTTTTAATGCAACTGGGAGAGTTTGTAGTTGATTTTTATGATGTTCATGAACGTTCAATGAAGGCTTGTACTCCTTAACGTGTAATAACATCAAGAACTTAGAAGAAAATTGAACATTCTGACTCGACCAAGGTATGGAATCTTGAAATTACCCCATAATTGTCCTTTATCTTTTATCTTGATATTAATGTTATCATAGTATCTTTGTAAAAAGGGTGTTTTGGATTTTTGTATTATTTTTATTTGTTCATCCTATTCTGAAGAAATCAGAAGTAATGATCCTTTATTTTTCACTTGTGGGGGTAAAATTTGAATTTTCAAATGTTTGGTAAAGTACAAATGTATTACTCTGTGGAGTGGCATTTTCAAGCCGTCAGCATTTGGGGCTGCCTGATGGATGGGGTTTCACCTGGACCTTTCTGTAGCTGGTGCCTCTCCATTAGGGATTTTAAAAGTTTAAACTTGTAGACTTTAGATGCATTTTGGAATAACTTCCCCATGCTTCCTCCATGTGAACACACTTTATGGATCTAAACTCATTTTTGGTTAGTTATTAACTATTGAATATAACTATGATTCCTCAAAAATCATAACTTTTATAAAAAATACTTTATTTAGATAAGCACATTTTCCAATAGAGTTGATCACTTAGCAGTAAATATTTATAAGTGGGTTACAGTCACCTGAGTCCAAATGACTGCCGCGTTGTAGGCTTTGCCAGTTTATGAAGTAAGCATTCATATCGTGAAAAAGGAAAAAAAAAATTAGAGTAAGTGCCATGCAAATTGTCAAATTGATGAAAGTGTTCTACAGACAACCAAGGGAGAAAAGGAAGTAACATTATACTTAAAGTTTGTACCCCAAGTCTCTTGGTTTAACCCTTCTTTTGGAACCATGATGATGAGAAGTTTCTCTTTTTATCCAGTAAGCATTGTTTGTTTGTTTGTGTTACTTGTTTATATTATGAAATTTTTGAAAGAACTTGGAAAGAATAGTGTAACACCCACTTTCCGTGACATTAACGGTGAGCGCAGGGTCCGGCAGAAGGAAGGCCTGCGTGAGTGTGGTAGGCAGGGCTCGAGAGCGCCCCCCACGGAAGGACAGCAGTGTGAACATTTCGCCTAAAATGCCGTGCCCTGTGCTTGAGTGTGATCTTGTCATGTTGCAGAATTAACACTCTTACGATTTTGTAATAAAAAAAAGGGGCGTTATTTGTGCCAGACCCTGGGTTTTTGCCATATTTTCTTCTAATCCCATATACACATTTCACCCCAAATACTGTAGCGTGTATCTTTTTTAAAAAACACTTTTTCGGGCACAACCACGCCATGCTCACACCCAGCATTGCGCGCTCCGCGCTGGTGCCCCGGGCTCCCAGCTGAAGGTCTTTCTGGCCGACCTATCAGAATGGACCCCGCCCAGACCCTGCGATTATCCGTGGTATTCAAAAACAGGATGTGTTTTAAAACTGAGGTGTGCTCAAATTGAAACAAGTGTCTGAACTTGTCCTTATTTTCATTTCGTTTCTTTACTCAACGAGAACAGGCCTTCGCACAGCCCGCCGTCCAGGTAGAGGCCGTGATGCGGCCGAGGCGGAGTTAGAGACAGCGGGTGCCGGGTTACAGCGGGGGAGCCGAGTCGCGGCTTCCAGGCTGTATCCCAGCTCTGGCTCTGCACTCTTTGAAAGTCAAATCCAGACCAGCTGCTTTTTACGTCTCTCCTTTAGAATCTGGGATTTGAGATATTTACTGCAATGTGTTCTGCCCTCCAAAAAGAACCTATCGTTTATTTGTAAAGTATTTCATTGTCCTCTATAGTTCCAAGCCAGATTCAGTCTGATTCTTTTAGCAATATGTTCTTGTAACCTGTTGATGTTTCCAAATCCCTCTTTCCTCTCCCCAGTTTGTAAAGAAACAATAGGTAAAGAAACTTTTTGGTTGAAAACTGAAAGATGAACTGTAGTTTTCCATTTTTTGTGAGATTTTTTTTAAAATATATCAGGGATACCTCTATGTGAAACCATTAAAGTGGGTAAAGCGGTGAAGCAGATTTTTCTTGAGAAAACTGGAGTTCTGGGTAGTCTTGATGTTATCTTTAATCCATTATATGATCTTCAGTACTTAAGGATTATCTAGGTTATGGGTTTATGTATACATATGCAAGTTTCCCTTTAACTCCTCTAAGAATGTGTTTTCTGTTTTAGTGGAATTTTGGTGAACGACACTAAATTAGATGGACCTTTGTTACAGATTCTGTTTATGAACAATGTTATTTCAAAGTAAGTCATTCTCCCTTTTCTAAATAATTAATTATGGATTTATGAAACAATGTCTTCTGTAAGAATGCTGTTTTCGTTTGCACTTAACACCATTCTTATTCTTTTACTTAAAATTTACGGAAGCGTGATGAAGAGCAAGGGCGTGAGAGTCATGTCAACTTGAATTTGAATCTGGTCTCTTGCTTTCTACCTGTGTGAACTGGGCAGGTCGCGGTTGCTCTCTGCACACCAGCGTCCTCACTGGGAAACAGGACATTAATAGCAGCCATCTCCTAGGTAGCAAAATGAGCACCTGTGAGAGCCCAATTAATAGCCTCTAATTAAAAAAACAAGAACAAAAGAACCACTGTCACCACAACAGCAATGTTAGCGGCTTCTCCCCCACACCCGGGACCCCCGCGGGCTACCTTTAAAGCTCCCCTCCCAGCGCGCCAGGTCTAGGGAGACTGCACTCCCGCAGTGCCCGCTGGGCGTTGGGCAGCGGTTGCCCGGAGAATGGTGACAGGTGTTCCGCACAGGTGCCGGCCCCGTCCCGAGTCCCGCGGTCACATTAGCCTGTGTGCTGGGCAGGGCGAGGAGGCTGTGGGAACCACGGACAGGGCGGGCATCGGCGGGCATCGGCAGGGCAGCCCATGACCTGCTGTGCTCAGCAGAAGAGGGCCCTGAGCTCGGGTGGGGGCAGCTGGACGGCCAGGGGGGCAGCAGCCCAGTGCTGGGCACCCTCGCCACCTTCAGGTTAGAAACCACGTCCCCTCCCGCCCCGGCAGTCTAACTTGGGCACCACGCACCTGGTGCCTCCCCGCAGACGCCCGAGAATGTCGGAAGTAAAGAGACTTGACAGGTAGGTCCTCAGGCCTGCGCGGGGCGCCTTCGGCACTGCCTGAGCTGCAATCCAAGGCAGACAGTTTGATGAGGCTGCTTCTTGACCTGCAAAGCCAGAGAATGTAGACCTCAGCAGCTTCTCTTGCCTTGCACTTTGGTTTTATTTTTTGCAGTTTGAAAGTTACATAGCATTTCCTTATATGCACAAAGAGGCTCTCTGGGAGGATGTGGAAGAAGCCAGTGCGTGGGTTGTCTTGGGCGGCAGGAGCAGGTGGCCCGCGAGCGGGGCGGGGAGGAGGCCTTTCATTACGCAGCCCAGACGCTGCTTTTGCTTATGGAACCACTTAGATGTATTACATGAGCAAAAGTTAAACACACAAAATCTATAAATCCATTTATTCCTAGTGCGAACATGTGCCACCTGTTTCATGCCAAGCACTGTGTTAGGTTCTCGTAGCCATTTTGCTAACCTGGCGCCCAGCTGTGGTTTTCCCCAGGAAGATTCTGAGTGTTGCAGAGTCAGTGATTTGAAAACCTGAACAACAAAGTAACAAAAGTTACATGTGACATAGATGGGTGAGACTTCGGCCTGTTCCATGTTTTACTGTCTGAGTTCTGACCGTTTTGTGCTCTTATGCAGGCAATATCATCAAGAAATAGAGGAATTTGTATCAAATTTAGTAAAAAGATTTGAGGAACAGCAGAAAAATGATGTGGAAAAGACATCCTTTAATCTTTTGCCCCAGGTATTTCAAACTTAAGAGACTTTTAAGACTAGTTAGTAGCTTATGCTTTCACTGCTAATTATTAGGCCACGAGGCTCCTCTTGAATCAAAACCAAAATGATGACTGACACTTGTCAGTACCCCTCCCTCTTTCATCTGGCCTCTTTCTCCACGCCCGCCCGGTGCAGCTCTGGGCTCACCGTGGCGTTGCGGCTCCTTTCCCGTGGGACTCAGGCGGCCCCGCCGCACGCAAAGCCGAAGGCTTGTTTCTCGTGCCCTAACTTGGTCATGGGGATGTGTGTAGAAAATTAACTTTAGGGCAAAAAAAAAAAAATCTGTATTTCTGGGGTTTATAAAATGTGGGTTCTTTTTTTCCCTAAAACCAAAAGTTTATCCACTGTCCTCTTCTTTTCCCTTTACCTGTTTAAAGAAAAAAAAATCAATAGCATGCCCAAAAAAATCTGAGAAATATTACTATGTGAATATTAGAGCATGAATTTATGTTTAAAACATCAGAATTATGTTTTCTGGGGCTTTTTTAAAATTAGAAGTTAAAGAATGTAGAGTCTCTCAAATAAGGATCTTTAGTTGCCTGTCCTCTGAGGTTAGAGAACAGAGCATTCTGATGAACCAAAATTTTAAGTCACCTTAGTTTTCACCTATATAGATGGAATTTTTCAAGATGCAAGAAGTGGAAAATACATTTTATAATAAAAACTATATAAATATTATTAAAGTTTTGATTCAAGGTACACTTTAGAATTTGTTAGTGGCTTCAGGTTGGTGAAAGTTACGTTAGTATTGACCAATAATTTACATAAAGGATTTTTTTAATCTTTCTGGTTATTTGATTGCAAGATAAACTAAAGTATGCCTTGCCGGTTTAAGTGTTGAAAGTTCCATAATTAATATTCATTAACACAAAAGTCAGTGTATGCTAATGCTTCAGAAGATGCTATTTTTTTATATCTTTTTACATTTTTAAACTTTACTACTTGTGAAATTTCTTTTATAAGCATTCCCACCTTGCTAAACTAAACTCACCCTAATTATGACAACAATGAATTCAAATTTTTGTATACTTCAGTGGTAGGTGTTAGAAAATACAGTATGTCCCGATCGCTAATATTTCTCATGTGTGTTTCTCCTTGCATCAGCCGTCCAGTGTCACACTGGAAGAGGACCGTAAAGTAGAAGAGCCCTGTGCTGTGAAAAACAACAAGGAAGCTTTCAGTGTAAGTGGGGACATTTTAGAATTCCTCAGGTATTTGTTTCCTATCCTGCGTCAGTTGGCACCATTTAAATGATAACGCAGCACGTGTCGTTGAGCGATCACACGTTCTTTCGTTACACTTGTTGCAAACAGCAGTGTAGACCTCAGCCTTACATGCTGTAGAGTGCTTTTCAGTGACACTGTCACTGTGACGTGGGGACAGCGTGGACGTTGTGTGGAGGAAGGCATAGAAAGCGAGCATGTTGAACTTACAAATGGTTGAGGTTGAGAGGCATAAGTAGCTAATGGGGCAGAGAGCAGATGTGAAAGTTAAAAGGTTGCCAGACACAAATAACAGGTGAAAAGTCGAAGAAGAAGCTTAATGGGATGAGCCTGCGTTGAGGCCTTTTCAGTGCCTGTGCAGAATTTAGTGGTGCCAGTGCAGTGTAGTGGTGCGGTTTTGCAACTTAGGATTTTTTTTTTCCCCTTAAGATTTTATTTATTTATTTTTACGGAAAGGGGAAGGGAGGGAGAAAGAAGGAGACCAACATCAATGTGTGGTTGCCTCTCACACGCCCCCTGCTGGGGTCCTGGCCCACAACCCAGGCATTTGCCCTGACTGGGAATCGAACCAGCGAGCCTTTGGTTCACAGGCCGGTCCTCAGTCCACTGAGCCACACCAGCCAGGGCTCATTTCCCTTCTAAAGTGGGGTTCTGGGATTTAAAGTGGCAGCTGCCTGGAAAGTGGGAATTTTGCATACTTGTTAATTTTATCCTTCAATAAATACTAATAAATAATTTATAGATGTTCCTTTGTACCATGGACTAGTCCAGGTTCCAGGGACATAAGAATAAAAAAAGAAGGCAAAGTCCCAGCCCACATTGAATTACATTCTAGTGGGGGAAGGCTGTGCTCTGAAGAAACATAAGGCAGGCTAAGTAGCTGAGGGGTATTTGTCTGTGTGTGAGTCCTCAGTGGCTCCTCCGTGGCGGCTGCTCTGAGCCAGACCCAGAGGGCAGCGAGGGGGCGGGGTGAGTGGCCCTGCAGCGTGCGGGAGGAGCGCTCCCAGCCGGAGGCCGAGTGAGCGGGAAGCCCTGAGGCAGAGGCAAACACTAGGCACTGTTCCGAGCTCACTGAAAATACTGCTCAGGGGGACACTGTCCTTCTTCCCATTTCTCGGATGGGAAAGCAGATGTGGACACGAAGGAATTCGCCAGCAGCCCCTCAGGTGGCGGAGGCATGGCCAGGCTTTGAGTTCACGCCTTGGGCCCCATGGCGGGGTCCCTAGATCCTCATGTTGCCTTACAGGCCACAGCGGGGACTTGGGTATTACTCTGAGCGAAAAGCTGTTGGAGGCTCTCAAGTAGAAGTGTGACTTGGTGTGGCTTGAATTTTTAAAAGAAATGGCTCCCCATGGAAGAGCCTGAGCTGCCTGCACGCGGAAGCTGGAGGCCGCGAGCCAGCTACTGTGCGCGTCACAGGTGGGATGAGACGGCAGCCTAGGCTGGGATGGTGGTGGCGCAGTAAGAAGTGGTTTCTAGCCTGGATGTAGTTTGAAAGTAGGACTGATCGAGTAGGTTCAGTAGTTGGAATGGCTCTGGCTTTTGACCTGGGCAGCTGGACTAGTGTCCATGCCTTTTCTGGGACAGGAAAGACTGGAGGGAGTAGTAGGGTCAGGGGGTGCCAATCCAGTGAAGGTTTTTTGTTTTTGTTTTTTAAAGATTTTATTTATTTTTAGAGAGGGAGAGAAACGTCAATGTGTGGTTGCCTCTCACACGCCCCCTACAGAGGACCTGGTTCGCAGACCGGTGCTCAGTCCACTGAGCCACACCAGCCAGGGCCCAGTGCAGTTTTAAACAGGAGAGTGTGAGGTGCCTCCAACACGTCCAGGAAGAGCGGGCAAGTTGGTACCTGCACGTGCAAGAACAGAGGTTAGGAGCGGTCAGAATTGGACATGAAATTGTCAGCACGCGCATTGCATTTCTCACCGTGGGCCTGGCACCGCCGAGAGAGCGGAAGCGGAGAGGACAGGACTGAGCCGCACAGAACACGGAGCGGGGGGGCAGAGTCAGCCAGCGAGGCAGGCGGAACCCCGAGGGAGTGGCGTCATGGGAACCAAGGGAAGAAGGTGTTTCTAGGAGGAAGGGATGTCCGCTGACAGGTTGGAGTGAAGACAGAACTGGCCGCTAAATTTGGCTGCATAGGGGTCATGGGGGCCGTTGCCAAATAGCTCAGTAACCACGTTAGGGACAGAAAGAACCCTTACTGGACATGTTGGAGAGAATGACAGTGTCCTTTTAATTTTTAAAAAAAGTCGGGGGCTGTTCTAGACTGAAGGAGACTAAAAAGAGCATCCGCAGGCATTTGGAACAGGCAGACTTAATCAGACCCTGGCCTGGGGTGGGGGCGGGACGGTCTGCGGGGCTCTGGGAACAGTTGCGGAGAACTGAGTATAGATTGTGTGTTGGTGACACTGAGGAGTTGATGATCATTTTCTAATGGTGCTGTGGTTTGCAGAAGAGTGTTCTTACTTTAGAAGCCTCACATGGAAGTACACAGGGGTGAAGTATTGCAAAGCAAAGCTGGAAACCAGTTAGGAAGTTACTGTATTCATCTCAGGCAAGAGAACGTAAAGGCTTAGTTTAGGCTGTGGTGATAGCGGCGGTGACTGACTTCGTTCAAATGGCTTGGTGGGAAGTCAGTGTGACAAACGTGGGAGCGTGTGTGCGAGAGGAGACGTGCGTACAAAACTGTCGGTGAGCAACTGTTGAATCTCGATGGAAGGTACGTGGGTATTCATCGCACCATTTCTCCAGCTTCTCCATATGAAATTCGTCAGAAAATTTGGCGGGAAAAGAAAAGGCTGAGAGGAAAGAAAACGGAATCAATAACTGTGGACAGCTTCCCAGGGTCTCAGGGCGAGGGGTGCAGGGAGCCGGGAAGTGAGGGCCGCTGACGAGCCGCGGTTTGTGTCTGGAGAGGGTGCCGCCGACCGAGGCGGTCGCCGGGGGGAGTCCCGCAGCCGCCGGGCTGGGGGGGCGGGATTCGCCGCCATCGGAGGCTCTCACTGTCGCGTCGGAATCTGGCTCCTTTAACTAGGGCGTTGATGATTATTTTTGCTAATTTCATCCAAAATAAATTGTTGGAATAATCATAGTCTTACATTATTTAACGTTGTATTTCCCCCTGCTTAAATAGCAATATTTTTTGACTTGTTTTCTGCAGGTTGTAGGAAGTGTCCTGTATTTTACTAATTTTTGCCTTGATAAATTGGGGCAACCGCTACTAAATGAAAACCCTCAGCTAACCGAAGGATGGGAAATACCCAAGTATCCTACATAGTGAATGAAGACCTTTTATGCATCTTGCCATTGTCACCTTTAAAAATATTTACCAAATTTTGCAGACTATGATAACTATTCCTTAATACAATTCACTAAAGGTACCAGCAAGTCTTCAGCCACATTGTTTCCCTAGAAGGGCAAGAAATACAAGTAAAGGCAAAAAGGTTTGTGTGGGGAGTTGTTTTCATTTCTTTCCTTTTGCTTTTTAACCAAATCATAAAGTCTTTTAGCTTGAAAAGTTAATGTTCTTTATTGCTGGCTTACTATGAATAAGTTACTGATCAAGCTGTGATTTTACTATATAGACCTATGTTGAATGTTTAAATGGATCCTCTGTTTATTGGGATCCCTTGGCTCACGCCCAGTGTGTAGGGGTGGGGGGAGGCTCGGTTGTTGCTGTCCCTGTGTGTGTGGTCCTGAACCTCCCGCCCCTCCTCGTGCTGCCTAAGGAAGTGCGGTCGGTTCGCCTCGGTGCTTCTGGTGCTGATCGCTGACGAGACCCAGAGGCGCCCAGTCGGCTGGGAACTCCGGGTTCCTGGGGGAAAGCGCTGTTGCCTTTGAGTCACTAAGGGCAGGAGGCGCAAGTGTGCCCGCGGCGGGTCGCAGTCACCTGTGGTCTACGCGCTTTCTTCTCTTTCGTGCGCTTTGCCGGCATCTGAGATTTTGCTGACTTGTTTTTATATTTTCATTTACATTATGAAATTTCTGTTTTTTGACCAAATAGGCCAAAGCCTCACTGTTTCAATTGTGGGTCTGAAGAACATCAAATGAAAGATTGCCCAATGGTAAATTTTTCTCCTATAAAACAATATCTTTAACCAGCGCTTTCTGATGTTTTCAGCATATTTCTGGCGTTGTGTGGTATGCAGAACCTTCCTGTGATAATCTCCTGTGGCCCTTGAATTTGAAACCTTTTCAAACTCATACTTAAATTTCCAGGCATTAGATTTTTTTTTAAAAATTTAGTACAGCACTCTGTATTTGAGATGAATGAGCATTAGGAGAGTTAATTTTCAGACAGTTTATTCTAAAAACTTGATTTTATATTATAATAATTTTGCAGTAATAAGAAATTAAAGTGACTGCTTCTCTTTCTTGCTTATTTTTCTAAAATATCCACCCGGTTTCATACCGTTTACTCAAACATGAAAACTGAAATAATCTGTTTGCTTGACCTGAAGTGCTTGTTCTTTATTTAATTTCTGAACTATTTCAAAAATGCTTGACACCCCTCTCAAACGCGTCGCACGCAGCCGCGGAACGCCGCGCGCATCAGCGAGAAGAGGAAGGCGTACCTGCACGCCTGCGGGGAGGCTGGCGGCCAGGGCTTCCAGCAGCGCTACCACGCCGACGAGGTGGAGGAGCGCTTCGGCAGGTTCAAGCCCGGCGTGATCAGGTACCGCTGCTCAGTGTGCCGTGGGCAGTCGTGTCTCTTTCCACACTATGGGGAGTGTTCTGTGTTTCTAGGGTAATTGTCGGTCTGTAGGTTGTCTCTGACAAGGCTCTAGATAATATATACATCGATCCAGTTGAAAACCTTCATTGAAATCTTAACTATACAAGGTCCGTCCGGAAGGAATCCAACCATGTGATATAAAAAATAGAGACGTTTATTGAAAAAGATACAAGATACAAGAAACATTGTGCATAGCACAGGGATGCCTGGGTCCCCTTCAAAGCAGGCACCTTGGGACCTCACATGGTTCTTCCACTCGCCATCAGCTGCCCCATTGTGTTTTCCTGAATCTTATCAACAGTCTGAAATCTCTTTCTTTTTTATTTTTATTTTTTTAGATTGTATTAATCTCTAGAAGGGAAGGGAGGGAGAAAGAGAGAGAAACATCAGTTTGCGGCTGCTTCTTGTGCGCCCCCTACTGGGGACCTGGCCTGCAGCCCAGGCCTGTGCCCTGACTGGGAATTGAACCAGCAACCCTTTGCTTCACAGGCCGGTGCTCAATCCACTGAGCCACACCAGCCAGGCTGAAATCTCTTTTTTTTCAAAGGTGATGTTAGTTTTGGGAAAAGCCAGAAGTCTCAGGGTACCGAACCTGGGCTGTAGAGGGGCTGAGTCACCTGGTGATTTGATGTTTCACCAAAAAACCCTGCACAAGACGTGATGCGTGAGCAGGTACATTGTCATAATGAAGTTGCCAGTCACCAAGGGGCCTATGGCTGCAGCTTTCTGAATCTGAATAGTTTCCACAGAGGAATGTTCGAGCTTAACACAAAACATGATGTGGATTTGTTGCACTACTCAGTCATCTTGAACACAACGGCCACACACTACACGTGCTCACTCAACGGCGACTACTGCCTCCCCTGACTAGGAGGGCGAAGTCCGCATTGTTCACACTTGCGCATTCCAGTCCACTCTCCTTGGATGCCGGGTTACATCGATTCGTGCAAACCATTCTCGTTATATTAACAGTGGCTGGACTGTTTCTGGGCAGACCTCGTATATTTGATAGGCGCCATGCCACCAGCTGTGTGATGTAAGACAGAGTTGTTTTGAATCATTGGAGTATTACGTGTTTTCATCCAAACCAGAATACAGTATTTTTCTCCCTCTTTTATTTTTACTAAGTGAGGAACTTCAGGATGCACTGGGCGTGACGGATAAGAGCCTTCCGCCTTTTATATATCGGATGCGCCAGCTAGGATACCCACCCGGATGGCTCAAAGAGGCCGAGCTGGAGAATTCGGGGCTTGCGCTCTATGATGGAAAAGGTAACATTAGGGCAGATCGGTCGACTTCCGTGTTTAACGGTTCTAATCTAATGGTTCAGAAATTCTACAATGGAAGAATAATGCTCTTGTCATGAATATAGGCACTTTCTGGGTCTACTTGTGGTCTGGAGAGGGATTTACATTGACCTCTAGCATATTAACTCTTTTGTTGGTCTGTAACAGATGGTGCTGATGGGGAAACAGAAGCTGGAGAAATACAACAGAATCAAAATGTCACTTATGATCTCTCAAAATTGGTAAACTATCCAGGTTTTAATATATCTACTCCCAGAGGCATTCCAGACGTAAGTGTGTGGTTTTCTTACTCTTTTGATATGTGTAGATTGTTCAAAATGTTAGCTTATGTAGCAGTGACTGTTACTTCAAAAGTAAATGTGTTGCTTAAGGGTTTAATGTTTTAATAACCTTTATGTTGACTAGAATCTTAAGTGAATCTTACATTCTTAAAAAAAGTAAAAACCCACAATAGCTTTTTTTAATTTTTATGTCCTAAGAAAAGGATATAATAGTTATAAATATAACTATTTATATATAATAGAATAGAGTAGATTCTATTCTGTAGAATAGTTAGATTCTGTAAATCTAAAGTTACCCTAAAATTTAAAAGACTGTTATTTTTTTTAATGTGGGATGACTCTGAGGCAGTGTTATAAGTTTTACAGAATTACTTGGAAAATGAATTTATGCCTTTGATAAATCTAAGTATACCACTACTTTTTTCTATTCTTACTTCCTTTTTTCCCCCTCAAAGTAAAATTTCTCATTCTGTATGAGAATGGTTCCTACACTTATGTTTCAAAGTTCAACAGTTAACTTGCAGTGGTGATGGTAGCTGCGGTATTTTAATTTAAAAATAAAAATGCGTGGACCAAGTGGAGGGCCAAATGGCAGGCACAGGCCATCAGTGCCTCTGGAAGTGGGTCCCGGACCCAGCCCAGAGCAGGTCCCTCGGGGTGCTCGCAGCCCCTCCCTTCCACTCCCCTGAGCTGTCCCTGGCTTCTGTGGGTCTGACGAGCGCCAGAGCAATTCCTAGTACCAGTCGCCGCTGGGTGCGCGGTTGGTGAAGAGGGAGCGTTGGACCTGGCAGATTCGCAGCCGTGCTCAGTGGGGAGGGAAAGAATAGGGTGGAAAACGCAGCGCCAGGAAGTTCGTTAGGAGGGATGGGCCGCGAGCGGCCGAGGGAGGGTCAGGCCGCCAGGCCTGATGGGAGTCCGTGCAGTCCTGCTTAGAGCATCTGCTTGTCGTCGGCAGGACATTTGGGGCCGAGGGTCAGGTGGTCTTTTAGTGTTCGGTCCTGATGGTTCTGTAGGCAGAGCTGAGGTTTTTTTCTTTCAAAGCACCATTATTTTCATGAATTCCCCTAAAAAGGAAAAGCCACATATGAAGCAGAAATGTAATTTGAGACCTCCATTTTACCCCTTGGAGCAGAATCTCCAAGCATGATTTTGTTTTTTCCTTCTCTTCGCGTCGCTAGGAATGGAGGATGTTTGGTTCCATACCAATGCAGGCCTGTCAGCAGAAGGACGTGTTCGCCAATTACCTCACTTCCAACTTCCACGCGGTAAGAGCCTTTCAGAGTGTCCTCTACGAACGCTGATTGCCGGGGCGGTTGGGGGTGCAGGGTTAGGGGCTGGGGGGATTTTGCAAAAATGCACAAGGACTCATGGATGTAGACAACAGGTCAGTGATTGCTGCCGGGGGTGTAAGAGGACTAAATAGTAATGGGAAAAAATATAATAAAGTTTTTTTTAAGATTTTATTTATTCATTTTTGGAGAGGGGACGTGAGGGAGAAAGAGAGAAAAACATCAATGTGTGGTTGCACCCCTGCTACTGGGGACCCAGCCAGCAACCAGGCATGTGCCCTGACCAGGAATCGAACTGGCGACCCTCTGGTTCACAGGCTGGCGCTCAGTCCAGTGTGCCACACCAGCCAAGGCTAAAGGTTATTTTTTAAAAACAGGTGCAGATATGTGTGTACAAATGCACAAGAAAAAAAAGCAAATAAAATATAAGTCAAAAAAAATTAAAAATTAAAAAAAAGTTTATTGCATATGTCTGTGGGATTGTGTGGTGCGTCAGCATCTTATTGCCTCTCTTGCTTTGCACAAAAGCTCTCTTTGTTTTCTGATGACTCAAAAGCAGAAAAGTAGCTACATTCAGCAGTTACCCAGGCTTGGCCCCGGCTGCTTTTCTGCATCACGTTTACGTGAAGGGACGGAGTTTCATCCGTTGCCTGCCCAGCTAACTGTGGTTTGGTTCCCCCGTTAGCCGAGCGCGAGGTCTGGCCCCAAGCGGCCTTCGTCTCAGTCCAGCCCCGGTGGCCCCAAGAGACAGAGGAAGGAAAGCAGCTCGGCTTCCCCCGCTGACATGGAGCTCGACTCGGGTAGGTTGCGTGCTGTGGATTGATTTCATTGAGAAGGTCAGACAGATTTGTACACCCCTGAGTGCCGTCAGAAACAGGAAGCTCTTTATGAGCGCTGACTAAATAGGAAATCTTCCATTTTATCCTTGGCGATCAGAGCTTCTGCTCCGTTACTGAAAAAAGCTGGGGTGGAAAACACGGCTTGGTGTGAGGGGTAAGCAGGCCAGCGAGCTGCCTCCTGAGCCAGGCAGACCCGGCTCTTGGGTCACCCCGTCCCATCCCCGCAGCCCCGCGCCTGGGCTGGCGCCACAGGCGGGCAGCAGGCGGAGGCAGGTGGAAGGCGTCCCCCTTTGGCGCTCGGTCCACGAGTAAGGTGGCCAGAGCCAGGCCAAGCTTCCCAGTTACTCCTCCCAACTTTTGTTTTGTTTTGTTTGACTTTTTTACTGGATTTTTTGGGATGACACTGGTTGATTGATAGGTTTCGGGGGTACAGTTCCGTAACACATCTCCTGTATATTGTATTGTGTGTTCACCACCGCAAGCTGAGCCTCCGGTGTTAGTTCAGCGAGTCGCTTCTCCCCCCAGGAAGGAGACCAGGAGGAAAATGGGGCCTCCCAGGAACCCGGTACAGCACTAGGCCTTGCCCTTTGACCCCCTCGCCTTCTGTTCCCTGAACCCTCGGGGCTGACTTGCGGGGCCTGGTCAAGCAGGACCAGGATGGCGCTCTCTGGCAGGTCAGCAGTGTGTCAGGACAGCCACGCTCCCATGTTTGTGGCCCTGCCACCGCCCCGCCCCCCCGCCCCACCCCCCGCCGCCACCACAGCACCAACCACTGCACCTTGGGTTTCCCTCTGGTTCTGGTGAGTAGATTTTGCCCCTAGAAGGCTCTGGAATGGATCAGGACTTTGTGTTACTGAGATGAACTGCAAGGCCACTCTGAATCCAAGATGGAAGCTCACTCCTTAGGCTATTTTCCACCCACATTATGCCCAGCTACCTTGGTCCCAGACAGCATGTTGGATGTTCTGCGGTGAGGTTAAAGCACGGCATTCAGATAAAATGAAAACGCCAGCAACATAAATTGCCCCAAATTTCAATGTGAAACCTCTCCTTCCAGTTTTCAAATTCCAATGGGGAATTTAAAGGTCACAGATGAAATTCCCTTAAAGTCCAAGGCAGTTCAAGTCCAAAGTCAAATTGCTTTGCATGAGTGGCCTCAAAGTTGGAAATCAAAGGCTCCAAAGCATTTTCCCCAGTCGTTCACTCTGCTTAGCCTCTGCCACAGGAGTGTTTGATGCCCGAGCGGAGTTCACAGGCTGGGCGCCTGGCATCTATGACCTCGTTTAGGTCTCCAGCCTCCCTTTTATCATGGCCAAGGACTTCAGAGGAAGCGTGGAGTCCTGCAGCCTTTGCCACACGCCTAGGAAATTTTGAAAACAAAACATTTCCCCAAACCTGGAAGCGCCTGTCCCAGACAGAATTGCATCCCAGAGTGCATCACGTCTCAGGGCCTTCAGAGGCCGGAGCCAAGGCTTCTGAGCGATGGCAGAGACCTTGTCAATGCCGATGTTACTCCTTTATTTAAAAATTAAGGTTCTATTTATTTATTTATTTTTAGAAAGAGGGGCAGGGAGAAAGGAAGAGAAACATCAGTTGATTGCCTCTTGCACACCCCCAAATGGAGGCCTGGCCCTCAACCCAGTCATATGCCCCGACCGGAAGTTGAACCGGTGACCGTTAGGTTTGCAAGACGATACTCAACTTGCTGAGCCACCATAGTCAGGGCACAGTGCCAGTGGTGCTCTCGTAGTTCCCTAGGCTGAGACGTTCCATCCACCCTGAATCCAGCCCTCCATTTCTAGCCTGCTGCCAAAGCCTATCGGTCTTTCAGCGATTCCATTCCGCTTTTACCATTATCGCTCTTGGGGTCCTTATAACTGATTTTTTTTTTTTTTTTTTTTGCATCCTTCCATTCAGCTTTTATCTATTCTTTGCCCTTCTAAACAAATTGATTTCTTAAGGTCTAAGTGACAGTCTGTGACTCACTCACAGATCTCGCTGCCTGCACAGTCAAGTTCAGACTGGGTTTGCATTGCATTCATAATTCCATGTTACTTGGCTGAACTTCCCAAATTTTTCAAGCATGGACCATGTCAGACTGCTCACAGACCCCACGGGCAGGACACCCCATGAGACCCAAGCGGCGCGTGTCAGGGCTGTTCCCTGTCGCCAGGGATCGCAGGTGCACAAACTCCATTTTAACGTGCTGGCCCCAGGGATACATGCAAAGCCCAAGGGTTGCATGTAGCTGCCACAGAGCTGGTCTCAGACGGAAATGGTGGCGTACAGGGAGAACTGAGCAGCTGGGTGAGGTCAGACCTTTGCCAAGAGTGACCTTGAGCTGCACCCGGAGGGGTGAATTCAGGGGCTTGAGCAGCGTCAGGGCGTTTGAGGCCTGGGAGATGCAAACGCAGATGTGTGAAATGTCGGCATCAGGCCAGCAGCAGGCTGACAGCTGGAGTTTGACCCCAGGCAGTGAGAAGGGGCCTGGCGGAAGCAGGTAAATTCTTGGTCATCAAGGGCCTTGGACGGCCTAGAGGACGCTGGACGCCATCTTGTAGGTGCTGGGGAGGCACCGAAGGCTCTCTCGTGCCAGGGGAGGGGCCTGTGTGTTCTGGAATGAAGGACCGTGAGGGTGGGTGTGACGGAGAGGAGTCCAGAGACAGACCTCTCTGCTCTTCCTGGCAAACAGGAACAGCCTGAAGTACCAGCGGCTGTGACAGTCTGCAGGAGAGTGGGCCCCAGAGAGCCAAGGAGCTGGGTGTGGCGGGTCCTCGGGGGGACTCTCAGATGACCAGCAGGTTTCGGTCTTGGAGGCTTTACCCCAATATCGTTGTCGGTGCCCTTAGTGAATAGCAAATAGGAGAAGAGTCCTGATTTTAGAAAAAGATCCTTTGTTTTGGACAGGTTGGGTCTGTCGTGTCTGGTGTCTGGGACATGTAGGCGGTATAGACCTGCAGTGCAGGCGGACAGTCCAGGCCGGAGACACAGAATTAGGAAATAAGGCAGGGGTACCCGCCTCGTCTGTGCCCCGCCATCTGCGGCGGCCTGCCCCACGCTCCGGCCCGGCGGCCTGTGTGCATCCACGCGCCCACCTTCAGTTGCAGCCGGCTCCTAGAAGCCGCTCCCAGTCGCCGTGCCGTTGTTTGCCGTGCCTGGCTCCGAACCGGAGCACACAAACCGAAAACAGATTCCTGAGGGACTGGTTAAAGTTTCTGGCGCCAGAAGGTCCCAAGCTCTCCCTGTGGGCATCCTTTTCGGGCGGCTCGAGAACGTGAGGTGGTGGTCATGGTATGAGGATCCAGAGTTTCCCCCTCAAGCCAGTTGTTTTTGGCCATTGAGTCTCTGATTACCCCTGAGTTCACGCACAGTAATACGTGTCCCCTTTCTTATTTCAGATGCAGACGTCCCGCACGCGTCCCCGGGCAGGGACGCCGCTCAGTTCCAGCCCCCGTTGCCCCCGGGCACTCCGCCCCCTCTGCCGCGGGGGACCCCTCCCCACACCTTCACACCGCCGCTCCCCAAGGGCACCCCACCTCTGACCCCCGGCGACTCACCGCAGACCAGGACGGCGTCGGCGCCCACTGACGAGGACACACTGACCCTGGAAGAGCTGGAGGAGCAGCAGAGGCGCATCTGGGCGGCCCTGGAGCAGGCCGAGAGCGTGAACAGCGACTCGGACATCCCTGCCGACACACCTTTAACTGGAAACTCAGTTGCCTCTTCGCCTTGTCCAAACGAGCTGGACCTCCCTGTCCCAGAGGGCACGCCCCCAGAAAGGCAGGTGCCAGGGGAGCCCGAGGACCCGGACGCGTGCACGAAGAGGTCGGAGGTCGACCGTCCCTCAAGCCCAGGCTCTGAGGAGGCCTTGCTTTGTCAGAAGGACAAGGAAGAGCCCGCTCAGACAGACTCTGCGGACGCGCTCAGCAACGGCGGCGCCGTGCCACACTGCGACGTGAGCAACGGAGGCAGCCAGCAGCCCCCGCACGGGGAAGCTAGTCCCGCACCAGCCCCCAAAATCCACAGCCCCATCCCTGACATGAGCAAGTTTGCCACCGGAATAACGCCATTTGAGTTTGAGAATATGGCGGAATCTACTGGGATGTACCTCCGGATAAGAAACTTGTTAAAGAACTCGCCCCGCAACCAGCAGAAAAACAAGAAGACTTCGGATTAAGTGCTTGACACGGCGTCGAGATCTTGGCCATCAGCACTAGGGACACGTAAAACTGGCCTCCTGCTCGGCCCCCCGTGCGGCAGAGCCCATCCGACCCCGGTGGCCTGCGGCCAGACCTGTTCTAATGAATTGGGCGGCCGGGCCTGCTGGGTCCTGTGTCATTCACGCTGGTGGGGACTCGGGGGGAACCGTGAGGAAGAGCTGGTTTAGATATAGTTTGTTAAGGTTTATACTATTTTTGGATTGTGAGTGTCCTCCAAGAGTGATGGTTTTTATCTGTCTTTTGTACATTGTTTTCCCTTTCTACATTTTGCTAATTAATAAGTTTAATATATCACTTTTTAAAAGAAAAAATTCTAACCATTTTAAATTCATATTTCAACTTCAACAACCAAATGAGAAAAATCAGGGATGAGCAGCTTTATCCCACTTGGGGTATTTTTGTAAGTGATTTACATACATCAATTTTAATAACTTTTACTTTTTTGTAACTTCATTCTTCATATAAGCTTGCTATACAGGTATGTTCATCTTTGTGTACAAAGGTTTAATAAATTAGTTTTCATATACATAATCCAAGACTTTGAATACAGAAAAGTGATTCACAGTTAAATTGGTATATAAAACTCCATAAGTTTGGAAGTAAATTATGTGGTTACAAAAATTAGTAAAAATATAAAAAGGAAAAAAAGCAAAGGAAATATTAGGTATTACAAATCTGGATATTTTCAGTGGATTTCAGCCTTCCATATAGAAGCAGCAGAATCTTAATCATTTTTAAAAAAATGAATGGAGCTTGCCTTTGTACAGAAAAAATTTCTAGACTTGAACCCCAAGAAAATTAATAGTTAAAAATAAAAGTGGACAAAAAATTGCTTTTAATTGTCAGATCTATAAAAGCTGAAGCTGGTTTTTGTCTTTATGTGGAACGTTATCGCGTCTTTATAGTCAAGCTCATGAAAATAAACATTAAGATCTTGAACTGTCAGTCTCAGGTAGTGCAGAGTGGAGCAACAGCAGGGTTACAGTTGTGAGTACGTGAGTTTATTCTCACATTATTTATTAATTATTGTATTTTCCGTAGAAGCAACTGTGAGCCTGCTTTTGCCCCCCCCCGTGTTACCCTCTCAGGCCAGCAGAGGGAGCTAAATACAACCGTGACGGATTTAATTTTCATTTTGAGAACTTGAGTAATCAAATTTACCATTCTCTAAGCAGTAAAGGGAAGGGAAATTATATAAAGGAGGAAATTTGTTTGTCAAGGCTCCGACAGAACATGCCAGGAATTGAGTAAAATATATTGTACTTTTGGATTTTCTCTCTGCTTTGAAGTTCATAGTGAAAGTAACCTCTCTCATGATCCCGCTCTGTGTTTCCGTCAGATAAATGTAATGTCACCACATTGTACGTGTAACGTAAGGGAACTTCAGGGCCCCAGAGCGGTTACCGGGACTCATCAGCGCTCAGGCAGCGGGGCCGGGAGGCCAGTCTTCCCCGAGAGGCCCGCCTGCTCTGGAAGTGATGTTTTACGAGAGCCTCCTCCGAACAGCAGAGCGACGTCCCAGCTGCCGCCTCGGCCTGGCCACACACGTCACGTGAAGGCGTTTTCAGGCTTTGCCCCGTTTGCGCAATCTCTGAGTTAGGTGATGTTTTGTTAACTTCACCTTTTAGAGGGAACGCCTCAGACACACAGCTGGTAAGCAACCGCGTGACTAAATCCAGGTCGTCCTGACCCCGCCCGCACCATCCATGCTCTTGGCCACGGCACTGCCTCCCTGTCACAGCCCTGGTTTCTTCAAAAAATGGCCTAACTCGATTTATTCAGTTTTGTCTTAGAGGACACCACTTCTGTTAAGTCGCTGTGTGTGCTCCGGGGCGTTGAAAGAAGGCAACCGTGAGCGCGGGCTGGTGTGGCTCAGTGGAAGGTCGCTGGTTCCATTCCCAGTCGGGGCACGCGCCTGGGCTGCAGGCCAGGTTCCCAGCTGGGGACGCGCAAGAGGCAGCCAGTCGATGTATCTCTCCCTCTCTTCCTCCCTCCCTTCCCCTCTCTAAAAAGAAATAAATAAAATCTTTTTTTAAAAAAAAAGCAATGACAATGATGGAATCTGCTTTAGTGGGGAAAATGGTGATGGTTCCTCGTTCGCGAAGAGATTCACTCAGTGGCCGTGGGAGGGGGGCCAGGCACCTGGGCTGTTGCGGGGGGGAAAGCGCCTCTGAACAGCTGGCCGTGGGCTCCAGTTCATTAGGGGGGCGTTTGGAGACCCCTGGGAAGAGGGAGCTTTCTGAGCGAGTCCTTCAAGGGTCGTAGGATTTCCACAGATAAGGAACCTTGAAGTGCACAGGAAATCCCATGATTAAAACAAGCAGACTCTCAGGAAGTGTAGGAGGGTAAAAAGAAAGACTTAAAAGGGTTCTTTATTCACTGATGCTCAGAACTCTTGATAGCTTTACTATGAGGTTTGAATTTTATGGAGGAAAATGATGGAAAGGTTTATCAGTGTGGCGAACTCACTGAAATGAAAATATCCAAGAGGTGTTTTAGGAAGAGAAACCCTGCAGCAGAGTTCAGGATAATTGGGAGGAAGGGGCCACTTTAGAGAAGGAAGCCCAGAAGAATGGACAGTGGTTGCCTGCGGAAGGCGCCCCATGTATCCTGTGGGCCGGATCCGGACTGCCGGGAGCGTGGGCGGGGAGCGCGGTGCTGCTGGCCCGGGGCGTGCTGCGACAGGTCTCGGGTGGGTAGGTGAGGTCATAGGCAAACACCTGCACTTCAGGATCAGGGTGGGGACCTCCGGGGTGGGGACCAGTTTCTAATGTTTGCCTTAGGTTAAAAGGAATGTGGACTGCAGCAGACAGGTTGTCAAGACAAAACCAGCTCTTTGTCACCTCCCTGAACAGGTAAGTAGAAAGCCTTACTAAGATACCAAATGACTGATTTTTTTTTAAGATTGCATTTCTTTAAGTGGTCAAAAATTGGGCCTGCTTTCTACCAGCAGGAGGTCTCTCCTAGTTGGTTCCATCCTTCAAGCCCTTCTGCCGACTCCTGCTTCATAGATCATCAGTAGAAGGTAAACCCAACAGATGTGCTGGAACAATTGTGAATCTCCAGGCAGCTGGTCAGGCATGACTGTTCCCAAGAGCCCAAGTCCACGCAACCTGTGTCTGCAGCACTTAGGAGAATTCGTTTTCCTTGCACTGAATGTTTGTTTGATATAATGGTAGGCCTTTAAATGTGTAGGAGTAAATTATTTTGTTAGAATATAGTTTTCAGTTACAGAGCAATTACTATTTTCTTAATAAGCCGGAAGTCTCTGAACAAGCCTGCCGTGTAATTCCCCGGCAATCTAGCGGCAACGTTGGACTATTGCAGTGCAGGAAATAAAGTGACAGCTGTCTTAAAAAAAAAAAAAGTATTTTTTTGGGGGGGTGTGTCCCAAAGAAATGGCTCCAATAGCGGGGTGGGGAGAAAGAGGCTATAAAATTAAAATGAAAGAACGCTTTCCTTCCAGTGTTGTGGAGCGTGTCTTTGTGGTACACACTTGGATTTTGAGATGCTGGGTTTTATAACTTAGAAAACAGCCCCTGTAAAATTCGCGTCCCATGGCCTCCATCAGCCACCGTTAAAGGTCCGCATTAGAGCCCACTTGTAGGACATTTTCATTAGCAGTTAAATTACACCCTTTTATAACCACTTAAAGAGTAAATTAAGATAATTTATTTTGCTTTGTCTCAAATGCTTATATTTTAAATTGTCAGCAGAAGGAGTAACAAAGTCATACATTTGAAGAAAAAGAACCCGTAGAGAGGAAGCCCACATGATTTTCCTTCTTACCAAAATGCATCTTCTCACCAGGCCATTTTTCTAAACCCAAACATTTTCCTTTTTCCCCAAATTGGAAATTCTTGATTGTGTTGCTGATATAAGTAATACAGATTTGTTGTGAATGTGGAAGTCCTGGATATGCACAATCACAAGTTTCAGCTCCCATTGTTCATTGTTCAGTTTGGTATAACTTTTCCGGAACAAATGCTAAGATTTTTTTTTTTTCAGTATATTTGTATATACAAGTCTTACAAGTGTGTTTTAACGAAAATGAGATTATACTACACTTGCCAGTATTTGAAATCTATTCTTTAACAAAAATATTTATTTATTTTTAGAGACAGGGGAAGTGACGGGGGGAGAGAGAGAGAAACATTGATGCATCGATCGGTTGTCTCTTGCACACCCCCAACTCGGGCCTTGCCCACAACCCAGGCCTGTGCCCTGAGCAGGAAGGGAACTGGTGACCTTTTGGTTCACAGGCCAGCAGTCAATTCACTGAGCCACACCAGCCAGGGCAGGGGATAGTCTTACTGATAACATAATTTAAAATGGCGGGGGAGGGGGGGAGATAAAAGTAAGTAAATCCTGGGGAGGAAGTAATATTTCAATACACACTTCAATCAATAACCACATTAGTGGATATCAGATGGTGACTTTGCAGAACAAATTATTTTTTAAATAGACCCGCTCACACATCGCTGTTTCTCTCCCTTTCTTTCTCCATACCTTCCCATCTCACTAAAAATAAATAAAATCTGAAAACATCAGCAAGTGAAATATGGAGGATGCTGTAATTCTTATATAAATTAAATAAAAAACTATCCCCTTACAACTAAGTTAATGTTCACGTAGGTGATCTTGCTAATTACTGTCTGTCAAAGTCAGTTCACTATGCCCTAACCTAGCACTGAATTTAGGTTTTATTTCTAATAAACTGGAGAGACAATGACACTATTTTTCCTTTCATTGGATTTTTTTTACATATGGGTTAATGAAAAAAATCTAGAAAGAATGACTATGACAAATGTCAACAATATTTTATAACCCTAACCAAAAGAAGGAATGAATTGTACAAAAAGAGTTATCATTCTAATCCTCTTGGGTTTTTTTGAGAATTCTTATAAGAGTTTATTTGAGCCAAAACTGACGACAATTGCTCAAATGCTCCCGATCCTAATCTTTTTATTACTATGTCTGTGGTAATGGGAAATCCCGACATGCCACAGATTCTAGGTATCAGAAATGCATTTTCTAAACAAAATGAGCTGTCAACACCCTGACTCCATTTGGAACCTTTGTAAGGAAGGACTTCCCCGAAGATGACGGGGTAAACCCTGACTCAGCTTTCCAGCCTTCCGGACGCCTGAGGTCGCTTCTCTGTCGGGCGACGTCCTAGCAGAGAGACTTCTCAATGCTGTCGGTGTGGTTGGGAGGCCAGCGTGTGGGTTATAACTGAGGAAGTGACACGTGAAACCAGGATGGGGCAGGTTGTGAGACTGGACCCACAGCCAATTTCTCACGGGCGTCAAACAAATTCCCTTCTGTTCCACCACATGCCTTCGGTGCCTGGGCTGATCCTTGACTCTCTAAAGCAGTTACGGTCCTGTTTGTGTGTTGGGCCCAATGTAAGGCTTTTACGTGCAGACGTGGGGGAGACCCCTGAGGCCCCCTACAGGAGGGTGGCTGGGAGCCAATGACGGTTTCACGTAGGGACTCCGTGACCAGGGCATGCGGACATGTTGCCGATACATTTGTAAGTGAAAGAAATGTCTGAGGTTCTCTGAATGTTGCCCAAAAGGTCTGTGGACTCACCATAAGAACTCGCATGAGAGACTCTACCAACGATGGTCCTTTGATGAGAGCAACCAGGGGTCGGGGGTCTTTGCTCTGGCTGCTTCCTCACTTGAACCGTGTGCCCCTTGGAATCCAGCTGTCCCCACCCCCTTCAAGTCTGTGTTTAAATCTCACCTTCTCAGCGACCCCAGCGTGACCACCTGGTGTAAACCTCTACACACAACACACACGCACTGCTCAGTCACACGGGGTCCCCCTTGAGCTACACGTTCCCCTGCTATTTCTATCCCTGTTACATGATTACTTCGTGTGCTGTCTGTTGCCGCCTTTCCCCACCGGAATTTAAGTTCCCCAAAAGCAGGGATTTCTTCATTTGCTGGTGACATTGCAAGTCAGGAAGACCAGCTCAGATGTAGGGGGCAGGGAAAGAGGCCGCCTCTTTGGATGAGCTACACAATATTGGGGCAATTTTTAAAAGATCTATTATCATGCACGTTTCAAGCAATGTATTATAAGCCTCCAGTTCTGTAAGAACTCTCATGTATCATGTAATCGCTTAATGCAATCTGTATATACTAGCAAGTGTGTTACCATGTTTTAAAGTTCTTTTGAAACTCACCTATTTTCAAAATATTTGAGATTAAAAATGGGTAACTTCCAGAATAGGAAAAAGAATAAGTGGAATAAGAGAGTATTTAAAATCAGAAACTGCTCGCGTAACAATGCCAAACAGTAACATTAACAAAGCCAGCCTAGTTGTGGTGCACTGAAGTTTAAAACCTCCGCCCCTATCCGTCCGGCCTGTGCTAACAGAGGGCTCTTACAAGGAATTGTTTGTCTCATGAATGGTTCAAAGTACCACATTCAAGTTTAAAGCCACATGTTTTTGTGTCACATGATTCTTGATAACTAATAGACGTCCGACAGTTGGGTAAAACTCGAAGTCGACACAAGCTGAATCCGTCCGTATGAATGAGGCCTTGCCTGCCTCGGAGCAGGGCTCAGAACTCCAGGCACCCGCCAAAAGCAAATTCACGGGCGCAAGGCATCACCCAGTGACGTGAATTTTCTGAAGAATTTGGAGTGAAAACACAGGCAACATATTGTAAAACAAAATAAATTCTCAGCAGCCATTTCTACTTTCTTCATAAAATTCCTTTTTGACCAGTCTGTTAGCACTAAAATATTTATTTTATTGTTCTAAGCAATTCCTTTTTGGTTCTTATCAAGTATTTGTCCCCGATGAATAGGTCTCTTCCTAGGAGAGAAATTCTGTCTTTTCAGTCTTTTTGGTTCTGCCACCTCAGCCCGGAGGCTTTTGTCTAGGCTCATGACCTCAGGTTAACAACATAGCTGCTTGGCTCCAGCTATTACATCTGT